AAAAAGTGGCCCAGCATTACCAATTCTATATCACCCAATTGTTCTTAACTTGAGTTCATAACTTCAGTTGCTACCTTAAACCAATTGCTTACGTTAGCTTTTAAAGGATTTGGAAGACATTTAAATAAATTGCAGGAAGTTTAAAGTGTTTTAATTAGCTTAGTGTGTCATGGGAGAAACCACCAGTTTTGCAGTACACTGTGGCAATGAAAAGTGCAATCCTATGAAAATATGTAGCGTTACCTTGAAATGCATGATCCAACCCTCTCCCCCACAGACCCTTTGAAATTACCATGTTCTCTTTTATGTGTTACATAACCAACCTAATACAAAATATCTTTCCGTGTATGTAGCACTCGTGTGATTTTTTGGGAATTCAAAGTGAATTTGAAGAGAATTTAAGATTTTAACCAAAATTGGCACTTCTCCAAATCGGCTATATTTTTAGTTTGCAATTTGCCCTGATCTCACTTTCAATTTCTGACCGTTGGAAAAAACTGCTTATGTTTATTAAATTTGGACAAGAGAAATTTAATATTTATTTTTATTTACGCAGGACTCAGAACTGCACTGGAGGTAGCCTGCCCCCTCCTAAAATCGGACATCTCAACTCCAAACTCTTCCTGAACGAGATTGCCAAGAAAGACAAGCAGCTAAGAAAGATGCTAGAAGGTATGTCATAGTAAATAGTCCAGTCACCAGCAAAATGCAGGATCTCAGTACAAACCGAAGAGACTTTCTTCCTCTCATTGTATTTTGCATCTGTGGTGCATTTTATTATTATCTTTTTCCTATTATTGTACCCCTCCCCTAAAGTATCTCCTTTTATATTTATGCTTGAAATTTCCCCTTTTCTCTTTAACTTGCCTCTATGGTCCCTCTTTCTGATAGTGCCCCTACCTTCACTGTTAAAGTGAACACCGTCATATATTATCTGCGTGCTGTCTAGTGATGTCAGCTCGTGTAGAAGCCTGGAAGGCATTACTGATGCAGCAGCAGCTTCGTGGTCATTTTTTATCACTAATATCCCAAATATGAGACACCCTGCTTACTTTCTAAGGACATTTTCAGCACATCCACAGATAGCAACCGAAAATGTCATGTGCGCACTTAATCCGTAGCAGAATCAGGCTTGCACCTATGTGTGATTGAAGGGTTGAAGGCAACGGAGAGAAGGCCAAGTCTGTACATTTTCTTCAAATGACGATTAAACTAAATTAAAACATTTTAATGCAATAATTTTTTTTGAAGCTGAGCAATAGTTATGAAAAATGGGATGATAAAATATAATATTGGATGACAATATAAATATTATATTTAATACAGCAGGTAATTTTTTTAGATTTTTCACGTTGCGTCCAAGACAGCTGAAGGTGATACTTGTTTCTTCATGAATGAGCATGTTGCCATGGTGACTATGTCACTTTTACGATAGCTGCTGACAGTGATGCAGTAATGTTTCATGCAAGTGCATGCTGCCATGGCAACATACAAAGCACACCTGCATGAAGACTTGAAATTGCATATTGCCATTAACCTCTTTGCTTTTTCTGTTTAACAAAATAGTGTAGCATTTAAAAAAAAAACAAAAAAAAACATGAGATGCGTAGCTAGAACATAAATCTGCAACTTTCAGTATAAATTGCTGTCCAGGGATACTTAGAAATAATGTAAGTTTTCTGTATTAATTCTTTACAGAAATAATTAAAGGGGTTATGAGGTTATATATCATCACCCCACAAAAATGCCTATAGTGTTCATAAAACATGGTTTTCTATACATTATAAAAATGCTAATTTATAAATGCATATTCATGAAGTTGGACATTTTTTGACATTTTCATCTCCTATGTTTACCAGGTCCATTTAGCACCCCAGTGCCATTCCTCCAGAGCATCCCTATGTACACCTGCAATGGCAGCTCCGGAGCGGAGAAACGCAAGCACTCAGCTGCCTTTCCAGAAAGCAGCTTCCTTGACCCTGGATCTGGAACTGCTAGCGGCCAGTACATAAGCCAGGGCTCTTCCTCTGGTGAAGGCCAGTCTGCACAACCCATGGTGCCTTGCAGCTCCACCCAGCACATCGTAGGACTTCCCAGCGGCCCACAACCGGTCCACTCCAACTCGGTCTTCAACCCCTCTCACTACCCCAACAGTACGTCATCTCAGCAGTCTGTCCTCTCCCAGTACGGAGGGCGCAAGATCCTAGTCTGTTCAGTGGACAACTGTTATTGCTCATCTGTGTCCAACCACGCTGGCCACCAGCCCTATCCTAGGTCTGGCCACTTTCCCTGGACAGTCTCTTCCCAAGAATACTCGCATCCTCTTCCACCTACTCCTTCAGTAACTCAGTCTCTTCCAGGACTTGCTGTCAGAGATTGGATCGATGCGTCCCAGCAGCATGGCCGTCAGGATTTCTATAGAGTCTACGGCCAACCTGCAACTAAACATTATGTTACAAGTTAACCGCAGAGCGAGCTAGCCTTGTTAAATATGCATTCAACGAACAACGCTCCAAATGGAGACATGTTAACCTGTTTAGTGACGAGAGCACTCCTCCGGCACTAAATGTGGTTAATGTAGAAACTGTTTATTTTTCTGCTTTCTTAATTCCAATAATTTCAGAGGCTGATGTATCATCTGATTCCTTTCCTCTCCTCTTCATCTTTCAAATAAGTCTTTTATTTTTCCTTTCTCTCAATGCTTTGTAGTTTACGCTGATGTCTTATCATTTGATGCAAAACTGCCCTTGATGTTTTTTTCTGTGTGTATCTTCATATTCCTCTTTTTTTTCGATTTACTTTTATTGCTTTAGGAATAAACAAAACTGTCATATTAGATAGAACAAATTTTAAGTTAAAAGGCCAATTATCATACAGACAGTTTCTTTTTTTAAATTATATATATATATATATATATATAGTACGTTTCAGAGCTGTGTAAATACATCGTGATCAGATAATACAGTAAAGTACAATAGAAATAAAAAAATATATAAAAGGGATATAACATATGGTTTGCATGGAGATACTCCACCTGCTCTTTTGTGAATTTTTATAGGGGCAGCAGAATTGCAAAGTCATGTGATTTCTTGCTAGGACGAAGTAATGTATCATCTGACTTAACACACAACACAGAAGAATTGATGTAAATTTATATAAAATAATTTTGCTACACACTCTGCTTACGAGGGCAGAAGAGAGCGAGTACTTGAATCTATCCTATCGAATAAGACTTTTTAGTCAATCCTATCAAATAAGACTTTTTTTTTCTATATTTTTGCAGTTGTTGGAAATAAATCCAAAAAAAATAAAATGCAGGGATAAGGAGATGTGTTTAAAAAGAAACGCATTGTATATAAAGTAAGAAACAAATACAGGGTAATGTTTTGTAATTTTGATTCTACATGTTAAGACTTTAAAATGGGTGAACAATAATAAAAAAAAAGGAAAAAAAAAAATCTACGTTCACTACTTTTTTTTATTTTTTTTCTCTTTTTCTCTTCAGTGTACGGACCAAGGTTGTAGTCACTATATATAAATACCTGCAGGCAATTATGGAGCCACAAATGGTAAATGGTCTTTTAGCTTAAAAAAAAAAAAAAAATGAAAAAGAAAAAGTAGGTAAATCATTTCTTGATCTTTTATTTAAAATATTTTTAACATTCCAAGTACATGTAAAAAAAAAAAAAAAAAAAAAGTGCAATTCTAATTTTCTTTCACTTAAAAAATGTTTTGCTTTGCATATTGAAGGTATAATAGTGCCACAACCGTAATAAAGAATAACAAAAAAAATTAAACAAATGTATCTATGTACAGAACAAGGTCCAAGCACTTTTTTCCCTCTGTTTCTGCAGCATTATTTAATAATCCATTTAATGCCATATTGTAAAATGACAGCAATAAGACTTTGTACTGTATGTTGCTAAGGACTAATGGAGATAACCAAGTATTGCTATTACGGAAGGTTTTATTGTGAAAAGATTCCTGTTAAACGGACGGACATCTGAGCAGCAGGAGTAGGAAGTGCTTCGTTCCGAAAAACAGCTGCAGCAAATGTGTAGTAAGTTTATCCAATATATTTTTTGGCCTTGCCTTTTATTCCAGTGTTGGATCTGGAGGTAAACTCTACGGTATCATTGCTCCTGTTAAAGCAACAATTCCGCTTACTCGGTTAAAACAAATAAACAAAAAAATAAATAAAATTCTTTTTATAAAGTAGAATCTTGCATTAATGATCCCGGTTCCGTTGTCTGTTGTGAAATCCATATATATGGTTGTTAAAAATCTGTTTAGTATAAAAGATCTTAAACATTTGTGGATGACACACAAAAAAAGAAAAGACAGCCATATTTTATACGAAACCTGCGGCCTAGCGGATGTATCTGCATTGCATTACATTTAAAAGATGCTTGTAACTCACACATTACTTCATCAGCATTGAGTTTTGCTTACCCAAGGAAGTAGATTTTTTTTTAACAATATTTATTTTATGTATATATCAAAAAGGGGAGGGGAGACCACAAAGGGTATCGCCATTATCTAAACCGAAGCAAGAAGTCTAAATATGTTAAGGTACTCAGCTATCGAGGTGGTCATTGTAGGAAGTAGCTTGACCAATTTTTGAGCTTATGATTTTTTTTATGTAAAAAAAAAAGTAGTTTGAAGTGTTGGGCGTGTTTATTGCAACACTACAAGAGCTCAAATGTAGGGGGAATGGTCTGATTAGCACAGCCTCAGGTCTGTTGACAGCAGAGTCTTCTGTGACTTTGAGAAAACTTTGCTAGGTGATGACATATACAACTGTCATTGGACATTAAATTTGGAAGTGAGGTCCAGAAAAGGAGCTTCAGGGGAAATACAGGAATCAAAGAAATACCGCATAACATTATTTTTATTTTTGCAAAAACTGTTTGTGATTGGGAATGCAAAAACAAATAGAGTTTATTACTTAGACCAAGTTCTATAACATGCATAAAATGTGTATTGGTGCCTGTAGTATACATTGACTTAACATGACTCAAGAATAATAATTGTTCAACTCAGTTCTGAGCGTTAAGATTTAGTTTTAACATGCTAATTTCATTCTTGGATTTACAGACTGCCCTACTAAAGCATCACTCATGACAATTAACTGGATTGTATGAACATACCTCAGTATAGTGTGTTGAATGTTGCATACCTTATGTTATACACTGGGGTTCATTAAAGGACCACTATAGGCACCCAGACCACTTCAGCTTAATGAAGTGGTCTGGGTGCCAGGTCCATCTAGGGTTTCAGAGAAACTGCTATGTTTATATTAGGGTTAATCCAGCCTGTAGTGGCTGTCTCATTGACAGCCGCTAGAGGCGCTTCTCACTGTGATTTTCACAGAGAGAAGACGCCAGCGTCCATAGGAAAGCATTGAGAATGCTCTCCTACGGACTGGCTGAATGTGTGCGCGGCTCTTGCCGCGTATGCGCATTCAGCTGATAACGTCGGAAGGAGGATGAAAGTCCCCAGCGCCGGGCTCCCGCTGGAGAAAAGTAAGCCTTTAACCCCTTCCTCCCCCTTTAGCCCGGCGGGAGGGGGACCTATTAACACTATAGTGCCAGGAAAACAAGTTTGTTTTCCGGCCACTATAGTGGCCCTTTAACTGAAAAGTGGGCTGTTGTGATTTTGACAGGAGTTACAAATTACTACTTGAAGAATGTTTCCAATTTGTCTATCTCAGCCTTGACTTTACAATCCTTTGTTAATTTGTCACTATTTCTAGCTAGTTAATAAACTCCAGGCATCTTCTAACTATGCTGAGAGGGAACAAAAAATATGACTTACTTAATTGACTTTTTCTGCGTGTGTTAACAACCTCCTCACCTAGATCTGCATCCTTTTTAACATCCTTTATAGATTTCAACGTGGGCATACTTCAACTTCTCTTTTTTTTTGTGGAGGCTTTTAACACAATTGACAGACAGAATGAGGACATTTTATTTTTTGCATGCAATTTAATTTAAACATTTATAGAATTACTTGTTCTTGCATGCTCTAAATTACTTGCATGATGATTATTTACTAAAAGAGGAATCGTGAGAATTGCCGGTATCCGTGTCGGCAATTCTGTTCTAAAATTTACAATACCCTCGTTATTCTTCACAAATCCCAATTCATTGAATAAAACCCCCAAAATGTTCTGAGCTCATAACACAGAAATCTCAAGGTAGTGATTTGAGTACAAAGTCAAACGCGGTTATTCACTAAACTGAGAATTTTAAGGGAAATTAAAATTTAAGGTAAAAATATATTTTTTTAAAAAATGGAAACATTCTCTTAAGTCAACAATGTTTTCAGTTCAGCTACTATGGCCTTAAATTTGAAAATTCACTTTGAATTCTCAACTTAGTAAATGACAGAAACCTGCAAGTTATGTGTAACTTTAGTTGCTAACAAAAATATGAGAATATTATAGATCTAGGCAGTGCCTATCTGCCTCTACCATCACTTGCAGAACGCTACAATCCAAAGCGCACTAGCAGGGTTATTCAATAAATGGAGACTTGTTGGTAATAATAAGTACATTTCAAATTTAAAGCCAAAGTAGTTGAATTGGAAGCATAGCTTACTGAGACAATTTTTACGGTTTGAATATTTTTTACCTTAAATTCACTTAGAATTATGTGAATTCTCACATTAGTAAAGAACTTGAAGATATATTACCTTACCTTAAAGGGGCACTCTAAGGAACATAATCGTAACAGCTCAGGTACCTAGATACAGCGGCAATCACAGACGGTCCTGTTTTCATCCACACAGATAATGCATAATTTACTCTTATCAATATCAATTCTATCAAAGGTGGACAGAGAACTATCAAGGTTATAGATTGGAGGGTTAAAACTAAAGGGCCACTTCTTGGAAAAAAGTGGTCTGGCTGAGTTTGTGGTTCTGTAAAATGTTTCAACTCTTGGCCTGTGGGACAAATAAATATCCTTTAGCTGAGCAAGAAACTCACAGATCTCACAGTGGATGGCCTTACTTATGTGGAACATGCAGTATATATGGATGTGTCAGGTGGAGGCTGCGTGAATTGCAAGGCGCGCCATTCTATATCGCTGCAACCTTTATAAATATGACATGCAAAATAGAAGGAGCACAGAGATACTGGCATGTGTTGTGAATGTACAATGTCACCCTGTGGTCACTGGCAAACATTTCTAGGGATATTTTATATTCAGAGAGTCACACAATGGAAAAATCCAGATCTGAAGACCATATCACCAGTCCATGGTTAAACTCGCACAGTGGAGAACTAGAAAGACCATGCACAGTTCCTGCCGACTGCCCTATTCCTGTCGACATCTCAGTATAACTCCTGCTATTCTACTATATAGAAGAATGGTTTAAGGCTGCAACTCACTAACCCATTGCCAATCCTATCATGAAAGTGGCCCAAAGGGCAATTGCCCTTCTGCCCGTCCAACTTGACTCCAAATCAAGAAGTTATCTTAAAAAGACCCAAAAGGACTAAACCAAATACAATTTGGCATTCTACAAAGGGTTTCCTTGGCTTAAAGGGCAACTTTCACTTCTAGAACTGACCTTATTGAATAATACATTGATAATCACCTATAATGTGGGGCAACATTTTTTCATGAGATGTTTCTTTTAAATTTAAAATAAAGGTTTAGCAAATGATAAATGTTTCATAGCCTTGCATTGATAAATCCAAGCATTCAAGTGCCATATTTAACAGAAACATAGAATGTGACGGCAGATAAGAACCATTCGGCCCATCTAGTCTGCCCAATTTTCTAAATACTTTCATTAGTCCTTAGTCTTATCTTATAGTTAGGATAGCCTTATGCCTATCCCACGCATGCTTAAACTCCTTTACTGTGTTAACCTCTACCACTTCAGCTGGAAGGCTATTCCATGCATCCACTACCCTCTCAGTAAAGTAATACTTCCTGATATTATTTTTAAACCTTTGTCCCTCTAATTTAAGACTATGTCCTCTTGTTGTGGTAGTTTTTCTTCTTTTAAATATAGTCTCCTCCTTTACTGTGTTGATTCCCTTTATATATTTAAATGTTTCTATCATATCCCCCCTGTCTCGTCTTTCCTCCAAGCTATACATGTTAAGATCCTTTAACCTTTCCTGGTAAGTTTTATCCCGCAATCCATGAACCAGTTTAGTAGCCCTTCTCTGAACCCTCTCTAAGGTATCAATATCCTTCTGAAGATACGGTCTCCAGTACTGTGTACAATACTCCAAGTGAGGTCTCACCAGTGTTCTGTACAATGGCATGAGCACTTCCCTCTTTCTACTGCTAATACCTCTCCCTATACAACCAAGCATTCTGCTAGCATTTCCTGCTGCTCTATTACATTGTCTGCCTACCTTTAAGTCATCAGAAATAATCACCCCTAAATCCCTTTCCTCATATGTTGAGGTTAGGACTCTATCAAATATTCTGTACTCTGCCCTTGGGTTTTTACGTCCAAGATGCATTATCTTGCACTTATCCACATTAAATGTCAGTTGCCACAATTCTGACCATTTTTCTAGTTTACCTAAATCATTTGTCATTTGGCTTATCCCTCCTGGAACATCAACCCTGTTACATATCTTAGTATCATCAGCAAAAAGACATACCTTACCATCAAGACCTTCTGCAATATCACTAATAAAAATATTAAAGAGAATGGGTCCAAGTACAGATCCCTGAGGTACCCCACTGGTGACAAGTTCAAGCTTCGAATATATTCCATTAACTACAACCCTCTGTTGCCTGTCACTCAGCCACTGCCTTACCCATTCAACAATATTTGAATCCAAAAAGATTGCAGTTTATTGATAAGCCTTCAGGGAGCTGTCAGGGAGCTGACACTTTCTAGAATTTAACCCCTTCATATATATTTAAATTGGTTAAAAATAATCCAGTTCTACTTCAAAAACAGGAGTCCGTTTAAATACTAGAACATTTGCATTGCACAAGCAACTTAAGATCAAAACAAAATGTTATTTATACTATTATTAGATAACGGAATAAAAAAGCTGTATGTATAATTCTCCAGAATAACAGTTTATTACATGCTCTAAAGTTGTACTGTCACGTCACATTTATTGAAAAGACCTCTAAGGAAGATAAGTTGACTGGTGAGTTTGACTAGGATGGGGGATGATTCAGATTGATAGGTTGGACCCCTATAGGTGAAGTGTCCATCGAGAGGTACGTCATTGGTGTATTCTCCTGCAGGAGCAAAAGTTCAAACTGGAGGTGAAATCTTCTCCCCTGTGAAGCTGTGAAATGTAATGATGATGACATCCCTTTGGGCATTGAGCTAGAAGATGCATGACGTGGAAGGGATAAGCTCTTTGAAGTTCTTCCAAGTACTATTTGCCAAATATGTGCTTGTCCAGAAAACAAAGTGATCAACACATTTCTTATATCTTTAAATGGTCCTGGAAATTTTTAAACATCTAAAAGAGCTTAAATTAGTTTGCCATTTGAAACTCTTCTTGAGTGCTAATGTCCAGTGGCCAGAACTAAGAAACAGTCGTCATTCTGATATCGTCAGATCTCTTCTGGAGGGCTTATTCACTGAACAGAGAGTTGTCGTTATTAGAGAAAACTACTGTGAATTGCAAAATCTCTCTCTTCTTTTTTTGAAAAGCATGAGAATATTTTATTCCCCCCAAATATACGAAATTGTCTTTAAAGCTCCGAATCCAAATTTCAGTGTTTGCAAAAATTTAATTAAAAAAACCTCAACATATGAGGAAAGGGATTTAAGGGTGATTATTTCTGATGACTTAAAGGTAGGCAGACAATGTAATAGAGCAGCAGGGAATGCTAGCAGAATGCTTGGTTGTATAGGGAGAGGTATTAGCAGTAGAAAGAGGGAAGTGCTCATGCCATTGTACAGAACACTGGTGAGACCTCACTTGGAGTATTGTACACAGTACTGGAGACCGTATCTTCAGAAGGATATTGATACCTGAGAGAGGGTTCAGAGAAGGGCTACTAAACTGGTTCATGGATTGCAGGATAAAACTTACCAGGAAAGGTTAAAGGATCTTAACATGTATAGCTTGGAGGAAAGACGAGACAGGGGGGATATGATAGAAACATTTAAATATATAAAGGGAATCAACACAGTAAAGGAGGAGACTATATTTAAAAGAAGAAAAACTACCACAACAAGAGGACATAGTCTTAAATTAGAGGGACAAAGGTTTAAAAATAATATCAGGAAGTATTACTTTACTGAGAGGGTAGTGGATGCATGGAATAGCCTTCCAGCTGAAGTGGTAGAGGTTAACACAGTAAAGGAGTTTAAGCATGCGTGGGATAGGCATAAGGCTATCCTAACTATAAGATAAGGCCAAGGACTAATGAAAGTATTTAGAAAATTGGGCAGACTAGATGGGCCGAATGGTTCTTATCTGCTGTCACATTCTATGTTTCTAAAACAATTATAAAAGTTTAGACAGATTAATTAACAGATTGTTGTAAAATTCCTGGAATCAGAAACCCTTCATACTGAAGGTGTAATCACTCTGACAAACAAAACACTATTCAAAAGTGCCTTCATGCTCTTTGTACTGCCAGCATGGCCAAAAAGTCGATCCCCAGCTGTTGTAGAACTTTAAGTCCTATGATGCTTTGCCTGTCATGAACACGACAGTCTGACATTTTGTTTTGACCAAGCCTCATATACCCCCATGCCACAGTTTTTCCACATATTTTTATTTGCTTATGCAATGCAATTCCACGGTTGTGCTTGTGTAGACTGTGGATAAATACATTTATAATGAAACACAGCTTTTAAATACACTTTTATTTAACAATATGCACATATACCTGCACTGTAACATCTACAGATCATAATACATTAATTTTTAAATTGTCAGCAAAGATGAACAATTATGTCATTCTCAGACCGCTGCCATACTGCTGAGATATCTTACAACCACGTCCACTCACATATCCTAGAAGTTGGGATCACACCACTCTACGCTCTCCAAACTAGAGCTGGTTATTAGCTCTGGTAAATGTGAGTATATCTGTATTTAAATTCATCCGACTGAAAAAGCCCCACGGCGAAACGCGTCTCGGACCCTCAAGGAAGACCACTTCAGTGATTTTTATTTGGTATCTGTATATATATTACAGTTTTTATTTTGTCTAATTGTTTTTTAATAAATTGTTACTTTTACCATATATATCTGGTAGTGGATCTTCGACTGCTTCCTGCATCTTCATAAAGAAGGGTAGTGCCTCCCTTAAAGGCACAAAGGTATATATACATGGAGCCTAGTATAACTGGCTCTATTCCAGGTGAGCACATTCATGCATTTTTTTTTTTAATTTTTTTTTCAATTCTTTATTTTGGGTGTGCATAGATTTTACAAACAGTCTTGCCATGCCACAGCAGCTAGTGCAAGCTTTTCAAAACATAGACATTCGTATGGCATTTGATAATTCTGCACATTTTTATGAAATAAAAAGATATTACAAGAGTAACAGGCGTAACTTTTTGTAGGTAGAAACCGGGTGATGCTATCACTGCCTGTGGATGCTTAAATGAGATTATCAGTGTAAGGTCCTGCAAGTTATCAGGCCCGGTAAATATGGAACATATAACACGAAAACATTAACTTTGTATGCCATGGGTGTTATTCCCCAGGATGCTGAGTAAAATAATATGCAAGACATTAATGTGTTATACTGCTAGACAGAATGCAAGAAGGAATAAAACAAAATAATATAATATAGCCACTGGGGAACTAGGCTGCTAAAATTATTGCTTATAGTGGAGCAATAGTCTGTGATCCCCAAGCCCTGAGCGGAAGCTTGACCCCATGGGACCTGTGAGAGGCAGTTTAGCCGATGCCTATCTGCGGCAGGTTATTGTCCTTGGGTGGTATGAGTTCGTTCTGGTAACAGGTACTGACCCACTTGTGATCGCGGTAGCCATCATGAGGCTGCAGATTCCCACACTGGGTGCGTGGCTGCCACTTGTGATGATCTTGTCTGGGATACAGCTCCCTTGTGGGTCGATGTCCAGGTGAGTGCTGTATGCTCTCTTCAGTCCCGCTCTCCAGCTTTAGGTAGGTTGGGCAATGCTGCGTGTGTAGTAAGCATGTGGTTGGCTGATCGCCACATGGCAGG